ACATATACATATACATATACATATACATATACATATACATATACATATACATATACATATACATATACATATACATAAACATATACATAATCAAAAAGCTCTGTTGCCAGCTGTGCACAACTCCGAAGAGTTGCAGTGCGCAGGTCTGCTGGCGAAGAGCCAACCACAATCACACTTCAGAACAAATTCTGTTGCACTAAATATTGTAGGCAGCAACCGGAATCAGTTTGTGACCAGGCGTGAGAGCACGAGGGCTCCTTTTTCATATTGCCGCCAGTTTTTGCTCAGTGTTGTACCTGTTTCCGCTTATTTACACACAAAATTTATAATACCATAATAATTATGTCAAATGCATAATATCTGAGGGTAAAAAACGGTCACCGGTGCTGTTCAATATTCTTGTATAAGCCGGCGCCATTTCTAAAACTGATGTCGCCCTATACGATTGAACGGCTAAATTGCCTTTCATACTATTATTGTTGTAACAAAAATTTGATGCCTTACATTAAACATATACTGAAAACAATAAATAGTTTGAATAATTTCAAGGTCAGTATTACTTTTCAATTCTAGTAATCAAACGTGTTCCCACGATTTAATCTATGATTGCTTCCATATGTATAATTTTATATAAAAGCGTATAAATGTGAAAACAATTTCATTGTAAATAGGAACATAGATAATTATTTGACGCGTTTTTATTAGTATGACAGGGCTTTCGCTGGTTTGTAGCACCAAAATCTGTGAAACACTCCTGTACCTATTAACAAGTAAGCTGATTTAGTTGGGAGTCCCCGACTAGGGGATACCCTGACCCCCTTCTACCAACACTAAATGCAGTTCGCGCTACGCGCTCGTTTACTTTAGTAGTAATAAAACAAAATTAAAAATAATTAAAACAAGTAAGAGGTTCTAGTCGGGAGCTCCCGACTAGGGGATAGGGGAAAACCCTCTTCTTCAAACACCAAATGCAGCTCGCTCTACGCGCTCGTTTGCTTTAGTAATAAAGATATATTTAAAAAAAACAACGTTTTCCTGGCAGGGTTCGAACTCGCAACTAACCGCACTACTTGCCGCCGCCTCTAAGCAACAGCCACACAAGCCAAAAAAAAAAAATTTTCCTTGGTAGGTCTCCGCCGCCTCTACCCAACAGCCACACCAATTATTGAGACTTAATGAGAAAAAATCAAACTAAAATAGCAGCACAGAAAACAATACAATCGCAATTGCAATGCTGTTGAAACAATTTAAAGAAGACGCGCATGAATGTGTACATGTATACAGAAATTCTTGGAATTTGCGCTAGCTGCCGCAAACACGTGGGCAGCCGAAACACATTTTCTTTTGTGTTTCTTACCCGATCTTGATGTAATTTTCATCAGTAGATCATATTGTACTTTAAAATATTGGTGTATTCTCACAATTGCATTTAAATTGTGGCTTATATTGGCGGGCAGCATATGTAAACTGGTTTATACTGTATACTTGATTTATAGCTTTGTTGCGGTAGCGGGGAGGTGGTGATGGGTATAAAATGAAAGATACTGATATGTATATATATACTATTCTAGAAGCAACATATCAAGTTTTTGAATCTACCTCTTATTGTTTACCCAATTTGCTCAAAAACCAGTATTTCGATATCGATTTTTATTGATTACTTGGAATCGGGACAAGTTATCGAATATCGATCTGCGCGGGCCCTAGGAGGACCTACAGCTAAAATTTCAATTTTTCTAGGTCTTATAGGTTTGGTGATCCTTGCGTTCATACATACGGACGGACGGACGGACGGACTGACAGACAGACAGACAGACGGACATGGCTAGATCGACTCTGCTATTGATGCTGATCAAGAATTTATATACTAATCTCTATTGAAAAAAAAATACAATTAAAACAGCTGGCCATACACACAAGACAGGGAACAATACAATCGCAATTGCAATATGTATGTAACCACACGTTTTCTTTAATAAGTCTTGCGTTAGTCAACCGATCTTGATGAAATGTTCAACATTAGATCTTATTGTGCTATAGATTATATGTGTATTCTCAAAAAGTCAATTGCGTTAAGATTGTGACTTAAATTGGTGGTTAGTTCAAATTGGATTATTTAGCTGATTTGTAGCTATGGTATGTGGGCGGGGGCGAAGAGTTATAAAATGAAAGATACTTGATATATATATACTATTCTAGAAGCTACATATCAATTTTGGTGCCTCTAGCGCTTATAACTTACGAGATTTGCTCAAAATAAAGGGTTTCGATATCAATTTTTATCGATTGCTTAGAAAGTTATCAATTATCGGAAACAAACTCGTACTGCGCATGTACGAATTTCAAGACTCTAGCTTTTATAGGTTCTGAGATCCTTGCGTTCATACACACGGACAGACGGACAAACGGACAGACGGACATGGCTAGATCGCCTTGGCTATTAATGCTGATGAAGAATATACATATGTACCTTATGGGGACGGTGATGCTTCCTTCTGCCTGTTAAATAAATTTTAACAAATACATTATACCATTTTTACCCATTTTTAAGGGGATCAGTTTATAAGAATTGTTGAAAATAGTATTTTGGTTTAAGTAAATGAATGTAACTGGCAGTAAACGGCATCTTCAACCCCATAAAGTATAGTTGATCTAGCCATGTACGTCTCTCTATCTGTCCATCAGCTTTTGGATGCCTTTCCCCGTTCCCGCAAATATTGTAAAACATTAATTTTTCGATGCATAGGCATTAGCCTTGGTATTTACATTTGATGCTCTAAATGTTTTATGAAGGTTCGGAAAATTGTGAGTAAATTGTGCAACAAGCGGCGTAAACATAACCAAAGGCAGTTTAGAGTATATACATAAGAGTATAACATAATCGGACAATCTTGGCTAGAGCACTCTTACTTGTATTTCGACTAAGGCAAATATTAAACGGTTTACATTATATAAGTATATAACGTTATAAATATATTTGATTTTCTTACCTCTAATTCGGAAAGCAAATCTTTTTTTTCAACTTCATCTGCACTTTCCTTTAAAGTTTTAACAGCAACTGTAGTGACACCTCCAGAGCCTGTTAGGATAAAAGTGGAAATTTAAAAATCAATATTTATATATTTTTTAAGAACCTTCCACCTCTATTATTGCTTGCTACCGACTTTAGATTTGCAAGTCCTTGGCTTCAATTCTAAGCCATAACCACTCGACAATTGTCGTCAAGCCTAGCAAAACTATAGTTTACTCTTGTCTTCTTACCTCTATGGCATACACTTTGTTTGGTAGAGAGCACAACTTTTTATAAACAACACAGTTGATAATAGTTTACATATAGTGTGAATATAAACAGGGGTATTTTTGTAGTATTTTAAAAATTAACATTTTTTTTAACCTAAGGAACTAGTCTCCAATATGTATGTTCGATTACATTTTATTACAATAATAATTGTTTCACAGTTGTTATTTTTATATAATTTAATATAAATACTACTTGATAGGAGGGGCTTAAAAGCTTACCATCAATATCGGTTGCTTCACAGCGCCAAACTTGCCCAAAGGCACCTTCCCCTAATATATTAAAGAACTTCAATCGGTGTCTTGGAAATTCCCACTGATCGGTGTTGTCGTCAGTGCTTAAGCCTCCTTCCATTAAAACGGCACGGCCTTTGGGTAATAAGGCACCTGAGCCAGCAGCTTCCACAGTGGAGGCGGCAATTGAAACATCAATGCTATTTGCGGCACTAGTCGGAAGTTGGTATGTTGACTGCGACATCGCAATGAAATTGTAGTTGGTTGCATGATTAAGTTGTTGTTGGAGGCGACGTTGTTTTAGGTTGGTCCGGATAATTAATTATTAATTATCATCGACAATATTATTGTTATCGTTTATTGTGTCACATGCGTTGTGCGCCAATGATTTGCAAAATGGGGAAAAATTTTTAAATACAATTAATATGTTAATATTTATATTTCTAAATGACAATAAATAGGCGTACTGCTTCACATAATGTGTGGGACTTCTTTTATTTCCTAATGATCTGAATAAGGCATACTCATAATTTAATCAGTAAATTCTGAACTGTTCAAGACTTTTTCCTTGTATATTTTATTTAAGCTGCAGTAGTCATTTTCTTTAGCTTGAACCCATTGAAATGAGTAAAAAGGGCAAGGATCTCAGACCCTATAGGAGCTAGAGACTTGAAATTTAAACGTAGGTCTGCCTAGTGCACGCGCACTACGGGTTTCTTTCCGATAATTTGTAGCTTGCCCTTTATTCAAACAATCGATATCCAAATTCCGTTTTGAAGAAAAAATCTCTTAGTTTTAAAGAGTCACCAAATTTGACATATAGCTCATATAATAGTTTATAAAGATACGAAAGTATCTTTCACTGAATGGCTATCACTTCCTTCTACGCCCCCTACTTATAAATCAAATATATGTATCGATTGTAACTACCCACCATTTTAAGCCACAATTTTAATGCTTTTGTCTGTTTAAATTTCTGTATACATTCGCACACATGCATACACATAAATAGAATTGCAATTGCAATTTTATCGTGTACTGTGCTGTACATCAAAGTTAAATAATTGGTATGAGTGTGAGGTATGAGGCGGTGGTAAGGTTTAATGGAGTCGACTTTCGCGACTTTTTTTTTCCATAAAAATTTTTTTTAAACTAAGGCAAAGGCGTGTACTGCTAGCTGAATGTGGTGTTGGTAGATCAAGGTTCATGGTATTTGATTTTGAATATTTTTATATCCCTGCAGAGGGTATTATAATTTTGTCTCGAAATGTGCAGCGCATAGAAGGAGACATCTCCGACCCCATAAAGTACATATATTCTTGATCAGTATCAACAACCGAGTCGATATAGACAAGTCCGTCTGTCTGTTTTTATGCGAACTAGTCTTAAGCTATCGTCATGAAACTTTGCAGAAGTACATATGTGGAACCAGCTGGATCGGACTACTATATCATATAGCTGACATAGGAACGATTGGTCAAAAATTTGCTTTTTACATGAAAAACTTTATTGTTTATCAAGGTATCTTGACCAAACTCGGCATTAACTAATTTCCCCGTGCTTCTTAGATACGGGCAAAGAACTAAAAGCATTATGTAAAGGTTGGGCCTGCAAAGGTATTAAATGTTCGGCGTGCCGAAAATAGCCCTTCCTTCTCGTTGAAAATAGCATTGGCTTTCTAGAGCTACTTATATTTAGTCACCGTTATTCCAAGCTGTTGCTCCCGCTCCCAGGGCACGTAGCGATTTCTGAAAGCGGCAGGACCTTGCCACTGTTGCATAACCATCGAATTTCGACTGTCGTTTGTAAGCGTGTTGCTAAATTGACTAGGATTGGACTTCTTGGCCAGCTCTTCCTTCTCCTTAGACTTTTTCATCGTTTTGCTTATAGCGCATAGGTGACGGCGACAAACAAGGGCGAAAATAACTACAGCTACTATAAGAATTCCGCAAAATCCAATTAGAATTGGTGTTGAGAAAGAGTTTATGCTAAAAAGTGCCTTAGTCTCATCGGCATTCTTTTTATCATGTGTTTTTGACTCTGACTGAGATACAAGCGGCTTGTCTGAGGTGTAATTTGCTATTGGTATTAGCTTGATGCGACTACGCGGCGTCGGCAGAGTGGAACTTTTTGTTGATTGGGGCAAGATAGACGTCATTGTCGGCTCTGATTCTATTAAGTTGACTTCTTCTGTTTGACTCAAATCTGGTGTTGATACTGGTGTATAAAATTTGTTATAATTAGGCAATCCGAAGTTTGCACTATTGATGTCTGGCCGCCTGTTTGGCAAGCCATTTCTAATGGACTGTACTCCTGGTAGCTGGTCGAATGAGGGTAAAAACTGGGAAATGTTCTGCACTACGTTAGAAATCGATGGCGGTAAACGAGATCCAAAGCCCTGAAATCCACTGCTTTCGCGACGTCCCAGTATGTTAATGAACACTTCATTTTTTGCGGTGTACCGTCCATCTGATACAGTTATGTAAATTAGAAAATTTTCACCGGCCTGTAAAATAAAATAAAATTTGACATATTAGTTTACTTATAAATCCACAATGCGGTATATTATATATATATTATATTTATAAAAGGGTATTATGGGCTGTGCGTCTGTCTGCATGTAAATATGATCGCGTCGATCTAACAAGCTGCAATATAAATTGCTAAGCTGCCTCGAGTACTTTGCCCAGACATTAAGGGCAGCTATCCTAAAAAGGCAGTTAACTTAATTTATTTTTATCCAAAAAGTGAATCGATTTCGTAGTAACCTCTATTTTTTTTAAGTTGCACTGAATAATATAACAGTACAAAGTTAAATAAATTCATTTGATAGTTTTTATTAACTTTATGTATTTAAATTACGTTTAATTCAATTTAAATACAGTTTATTGTATACATAAGAAGAACAAATCAAAAATCAACACATCTGATCATAGATGGCGCAGGTAACTTACATGATATTCATAGAAATTTGCAAAAAATTACTGCCAATAGGAGGCGCTAAAATGCAAAAGGCTGTTAAGTAAGATGCACTTAACGTAATTAATTTCATACAAAATTAGCTCTTAGTGCAGCGAAAAGAAAATTTCAGGCAGCTATTTTACCGATGCAGCTAAGTATCGAGGCAGCTAAGCAAATTATACTGTATATAAGCTGGAGGCTTGAAATTTTGAGCGTTAACCTTACTAGTGCCCGCGCAGTACTTTAGCTCTTATAGGTTCTGAGGCCGACGCGTTCATACAGATGGACGGACGGACATGGCTAGATCGACTCGGCTATTAATGCTGATCAAGAATATGTATACTTTTTGGGGTCGAAGATGCTTCCTTCTGCCTAGTACATCCACTTGCACAAAACCATTATGCCCTCTTTTTTAATTGGTATAAATAAAAATTAGAAGCAACAATTTTAAGGTTGCAGTCTTTTGCGAATATACGAATATATATGGTACAATATGGCTGTTCAGTTTTTGCATTGCAAACCAATCCGAATTTTGGACGCACACTTGTAACCTATATGTTGAAAATAGTGGTTTGTTGAAAATCGTGTTTTCTAACATTCAAAAAAGAAAAGTTTTATTACGTACAGTCGATCATGACTTTATTCATTATTCTTGTTTATCTGACCAAAACAATACTTTTATGTAAAAGAAAACAAATATTTAATATTATCGTATTTATAATATATTTAATATTATCTTTCGTACTTACGCGTCCCAACAAAGTCTCGTTGAGGTAGACCACGCCCGTATTGGGATCAATGCGGAAGGGCAGTTTACTTGGTGTGTTGGCGTGTTGACTTGCTCCAATTGGAGAGAGGAAGCGTGGTTCGATTCCGAATACCAAATCATCGCCATCAGCATCTTCGGCACGAACACGGTCAATAATCTGGCCCACCTCTTCTGCTTCCGAAATTCGCCAGTTTCGCTCTCGAACATATAAAGTAGGCGGCGCATTTTGGTCCTGTCCAATAACTGTAAAAATTATAATAAGATTACAATTTTAAGTCACAATTTAAAAGTAGCATTACAGTTATCTGACACAGTTATACATCTTAATTCATATCAAGATTTAGACTTGATATACTTCGCTTGCTAATTTATTGATTTGGTTTCCACTTCAATCAATAAATGACAACGCAAACCGAATTACAGACTTGTATAATTTTGCGCTGACGTCGATTTGAAATGATATTTTATGTGAGATAATTTATAAAGAAATTGAGGCAGAAAGCGACTTTTTGCATCAGTATATTGAAGAAAATGTGTGACGAGGACACAACTGCAGATTGCCAAGAACTATAATATAATTAATTTATACCCTGGTAGAGGAAATTATAATTTTGTGTAATTTTGTGATATGTGTAGGAGTTCTCTTCCACCCAATAAAGAGTATATGTATATTTAGTATCAAGAGCCAAGTTGTTAGTCTCTGAGTTTTAAAGCTATCGTTATTAAACTTTGCATTAGTCCGTCTTTCTTAACCGGCTGGGTCGGACCACTGTATCGTATAGGAATAATCGGTCGAAAGGTAGACTCTTGAATGATCAATTTTTTATTTATCAAAATATCTGGAACAAACTTAGAATTTATTAGTTTTAAATTCAAATATTTAATTAAAATCATAATGGAAGCAAACTTTTATTGTTGTAACTTAATGTGACGAAGATTTCCGACACCTATGTGGAGTGGCAGAAAGAGGAGCAGCAGATGCAAAGGAGAATGGGGAGCAATTGGGCCAATCTATATCTTGGCGAGAGAAGTGCAAGGGAGATAATTTGTGAAAGATGTAAGTTGTAATGCGTTGAAACATATTTAAATTACTATATCTTAAATATACATATATTTATTTAAATTTTAACAAAAAAAATATAAAGGAAAAGCCAATTAGTTTCTAGCAATATGCAGAAATGGCCACAGATTTTTTTAAAGTTTTTTTTTCTTTTAGTCTGTTTTTTTCTATAGTTTTTTCTGCTTTTTTGGCAAAATATATGTTCCCACGCATTAGCGCGAAATGAGACAATAACAGTGTGTTATCCACTATGTAATTGATAACAGAAATTAATGGAAATACGTTGCCATCATAGCGTAGGGAAACCAATTATTAACACGGAATTCTATTAATGATGATCAAGAAAATATACGTTAAGGGTTCGGATTACATACATTGACATACGACATACATTGGTTAGCTATACGGGGCGTATATTCCATTTATATGCCAGTATACCACGCCAAGAAAAACTGCGTCTCAGTTAGGACAAAGCCAAGGCCATAGCGCACGCCTAATCAGTCCACCTCACACCAAGGCACCGCGCGTAATGACAAATTCAATGAAGTCCAAGCTACCATATCGCACGACCAATTCCCTTTATCAACACACCGTGAGATCCGGGTTGGCCTTAAATCATGTGGGAATGGCAAGTGACCAAGACAACAATAATAGAATGCGCAACTAAGCGGGCACTGTACCAGTCGGATGGGATTGTAATGGGCTATTCAAGTCGTCGCGAAATGTCTGGTTCTTGATATAGTGGATCCAACATACATTAGTCAAACGACGGAATGACTTATGGATGTCAGCCTAGACCTGTATGAGTGGGGTATCCCAATTTAGCCCTGGGAGCACTATTGTATTGAAGAGCCTACTTTTGACACTTAGAGTAAGCTCGCTCCCTGTTCTAAGGAGCCAGTTACTTTTGTGCTAGCTGAACCGCACCCCCTTAACTAGCTAGCCATACAATATATTACAAAAAATGCGTTTACTTTTTATACATTTACTAGCGGGTATAACCCGGCCTTGCCCGTGGCACGTATGTTATAAAATCAATTTTTTCAAAAAGCTTTGAAAATGATTTTGAAACTGATCGGACGGGAATCAAACAACTTTTATGCAAATCGGACAAAACTTAAAATTCACCAAAAAAAATCTTTAAACTGCATTTTCCACCGAAGGAGTTTAGATTTTGCGAAAAATGTGAAACACGTCTCAAATGATTTTTCTTATAGCTCTTTGGAAATAATTTTGAACACAAAACGTCATCCACCAAATCTTCGACCCCCATTTGCACCAAGGAGGGATGGATTTTTTAAAATGTGTGAAACACCTCTCAAATGAATTTGAACATAGATCTTTGAAAATGAGTTTGGGGCTGATCGGATGGTAAACAAAAAAGTTTCATACAACCGTTTTCCGCCAATTCACCACTGTTGCGGGTGGAATTTCCCAAATCGCTGATTATTTTAAGTTCTTATGTAGAGCTTTGAAAATAAGTTTGAAGCAATTCAGACACAACTTAAAACTTCGCACAAAAAATCTTTGAGTCGCATTCCACCCGAAAAAGTTTGAATTCTGCGAAAAGTGTGGAACATGTCTCACATGATTTTCCTTATAGATCTCTGAATTTGAGCGCGAAACGTCACCCACCATAACTTTGACATCCATTTCAACCAAGCAGGAATGGATTTTCCTAAAAGTGTAAAACACCCCTCAAATGAATTTGAACAAAGATCTTTGAAAATAAGTTTGAGGCCGATCAAATGGTAATCAAAAAAGTTACATACAAAAGTATTTCGCGATTTTTCCACACTTGCGGGTGGAATTTCCCGAAACTCCGTCTTAACGTGCACCTAAATCAAATAAGGTAACTACAGTGAAAATTTCATGCTTCCTAGCTCTTACGGTTTGGGCTGTGCGTTGATCACCAAACAGTCAGTCAGGAGAAACAGTTTTATATATAGAGATTGACATTGTGAAAATTTTGGGCTTAAGGGTTTTATGACAGGCAGTTAATGGTCAGAATGTCTAGCATGTGTCTGTACCCATATCAAAGTGCAAATGAGCGACAAGTGCGGTTCACCCTTGATCGCCTCATTCGCACACATTTGTCTGTGTGTGCAGAGCTCGAAATTCCGAAATCGTAAAATCTTCAAATCTTGTAAAATTTGCATCGGACAGGCAGGCGCAACCAACAAGCACACACATAAATGCTTCCATCCATTTTGGTCTTTTAATAGATTTCTTCTACAAGCCGACGATGGATTACCCTTGCAGAAATACGACATAGTTTTTTTTTTTTACCCAAAATATGTCCCCACAGTAAACAAAATAAACTAGAGTATAAAACATAAATATTTCTTTTAGGTCATTTAAGTTTTTATTAAATATATACATATACAGACACACACATAAGTATTGGCACAGCAAGCATTTTCTACTTTGCAACCATATTGCGTCCGTTTTTGGTAACAAACATCCATGCAAATTAATTTTCCTGTATAAGCCAGTTAATTTCCTATAAAAATCAGTTAAAGTTTTGACTAATTTTATACTTGCAGTCATTTGATTACTCAGTTACGAATAAGCTCATATACAAACAGCATTTGAAACTTTTAAATGCCGGGTTTTGTTCAAATACTTTGATAAACACAAAAGTATTTCATACAACTTTTATTTTTGTATCGATTTTATGGAAGTTATATGATAAGATGTTGATAAGATTTTGCAATACATATATATATAGGAAACATAATTAAATAATAAATCACGAGTTTGGTCAAGATATACTAGTTGATAAACAAAGAACCTAGTTTTCGATCAATCGTTGCTATGGCAACTATATGATAGTGATAGTGATCCGATCCGGCCGGCTCCCAAATATGCACTGCCTGCAAAAGAAAGGCAAACCTATGCGAACATTTAAGACGATAGTAATAAAGCTAAGAGACTAGTTTGCTGGGTATTTAATATTCGGCGTGTTGAAAATATCCGTTTTTCATTTTAAATAAATATGCGCTAATCGCGTTCTGATAGTTTATGCTTACGCTCTGTTTCATGATTCTTTTTAATACCGACGATAACTACTCTAAAAGAAATTTTAAGCGACTGTCGTCTAATTTTAATACGTTTGTAACAATGCAAAAATGTGACCATATCAACTGAATGTAAGGCTAGCCCTTCCAAGCATAGGTTTCTTTCAATTGGTATTTACCGTTTTTTTAATTTTACACTGAGAAAATATATGAAGGCAGTAAATTCATATTTTATTAGTGTATAGCTTTGATACGAAGTATATATGTTCATATCTGAATTTTAGTTTCATTTTGGTTTAACCCATATTTAGTGATTCGCACGCACAGACTTTTTAATGATATGATTATGTGTATCTTGACGTAGCATACAGCGTGTTCAAATTGACGGGAGCGGGATTTCGAGTTATGTTAAGAGAATGTTAACATAACCAGTTTGAATGACAATTATACTCTGAGTGTATCGAAAATACGTAAAGTTGGCATATAAATTTTGTGCGATTGTATGTAAAAAAGAAGGATATTCGATCCCATAAAGTAAATGATTCGGTCGGGAGTGCCCGAAGAAGATAGTCTAAACGCATATGCACTCCAAGTAAATGTATATACCAAAGATCAAGACTCTAATAAAATGAGTCTTCATACCCTTGCAGAAAGTAATATTATATATATGTCGGAGAGGAAGTACTGTAGCATCTCGATAGGTATGAGACCTTAAGGTGTGACCATGGGTTGTGCTGGTAGATACTAGTTCTGGTAGAATGGGGACTCAGTTTGCGAGCTGAGGCTGTGTGTGGCTTCGTATGCGTTGCTAGATCTGGTCTCTCTCTCTGTTCTGTGTTTCCGGCGTGGCGTGAGGTGGTCACGTGTTGGTATTTAAGAGACAATAATGAGCAACAAAGGCAACGAAGACTCGCTGCATCCGCCAGACCTGAGTACGGAACACCAGAATCCGAACGGTCAAGCTACCAACAATGACGACCTGCAGGGAGACGACTTCAATTCTCCGACATCAGAAGTGGGATTCGGCCCTAACCAAACTTCTTCAAGGGATGTCTTCACGTTGTTAGAGCAGCAAAACCGGAATTTTCTGGAACTGGTTAAGAGGGTACAGATGTCGGCGAGCGAGTTACAACAGACTAGCGAGAAATATAATCCGGACATTG